AACATACTCAACAAAGATATTTCTTTCATATCAATTAATAAATATATCAAAATGAATATTTTATCAAACATTCAATCAAAGTAAAAAATATAATCAGATAATATTTTAATCGATGATATAGAAAATATTTAATACAAAACTGATCCTCACAAAAATGAAAAGATATATTTGAACCCATAGAATCTATAGATAATTTAATATTTAAGTCAGTTATTACTTCTATTTAGCTAAGTAAACTATAAGAATATCTCATCTAATTGTATCTAAATAAAGTAGCTAGTCTAAATAATATCAAAAACTTCTTCTGATAATATTACAGACAAAAAATATTCCTTATACTTATCATGCTCTTTAATAAATATTTAGAAATACAAGATACTCCCAATGAATGAAAACAAATAAACATCATTTTCATTCTTAAACTAACTGACTGAAAAGAAAATCTAGATATCACCAAATCTATAACACTTCTAGATATAGCAAGAAAACTCTTTTCTTGAATTCTTACTAGTCATATTTCTAACTTATACTCTAAATATAATATTCTCAAGAGTAACAACTTTTTAGTGTTAAAAAATATCTCAACAGCAAGTCCACTCTATATTATCAATAACTTAATAGAAGATGTTAGAGAAAATAAAAAAGAACTTTGATATGTCTTTCAAAATATATGCCATGCCTATGATTCTGTTAGCTGGCCTATCCTAAAACTCAATCTCAATAGAATAAAGATAAATTCAAAATTTACTATACTACTATAAAACTTATAGCTAAATTAATATAATTGTATCTTCATAGAATATAGATTCACAGAGCTATATCATATAGAAAATGACTTAAATCAAGAAGAAGTTAATTCATCAATACTTATAATTATAATATTAATAATATATCCATATAATTTTCACATTTCAAACCTGATTTAATTCAGATCTATATTTCTAACTTAGCTTTTATTTATAACACTATCTGAATAGCCAGATTTAAAAATAGTATGATTCAAATACTTTAGCTAGCTTAATAATTTTTCATAATATGTAATATAGTAATTAATACAAAAAAAATAGAAATAATAACAATTAACTCCAATAAGCAAGCCAACTCAGCCAAGTTATTCTTTAATCCAGATAATTCAGAACTCAAAATTATTTATAATAATAATTACACCAAATATCTTGGAATTCTGCTTAGCTCAGATAGAAAATTTAAAGCTCAACAAAAACAAATTAAAGCTGATGTAAATTCTATAATAATACTACTAGGAAAAAAGTTTATCACTAACAAACAAGTTATTTATATCTTCAACAGAGTTCTCTTTTTTGCTATTGAATTCAAAACATAATTATTTGTTTCCTTTACCACTTTTTGTGAATCAATAATGAGAAAAATCAAGAAAATTGTTAAACAAAAGTTAAATCTTTCTTTAAATTATTTAAATTTTATTTTATATTATCCAGTTCTACTAGTACTTGATAGCTTATCAGATATTTTAGCTTGAAGTAAAATTTTCAAATTGTTTATTCAACTTAATAATAATATACTCATAAATATGACTACACAAATCAAATTACAAAAACTTCAACATCAATAGTGAACAGAAGAATTGATATTGCTCAATCTAACTCCAGAATTCTCTTCTATTAAAAAAAACTTAATAGTCAATATAATACCCTTAATGTATTAGTTTAATATTTCTTTCTTTCCCTCTATTAATAATACTTCAACAGCAATACACTCACCTCACTGATAGTCCATCTCAAAAATTCTAAATAACTGACCTAATCACAGAATTCATAGAAAATTACTTTTAGAAGATAATATTTTATTCTTATCTCAGCTCACAAAATATAATAATATAAAACTTATTTTATAGAAATAGTACAAGCATAAATATTGATCAACAAAATAGGATTATAAGTCAAAGTGATTCATCAACCTAATACAAAGGATTATTAATTATAATAATTTAACTGATACAATAATCATTAACAAATAATTTGGTTACAGTAAAGACTTATATATAATTTTAGCTTATCACATTTTCACACATTTCAATAGCAGCTCAAATCTCTACCAAAACTGATAATATTTAAAAATATAACTAAATCCATTAGATACAGATAATAATTTCTATACAGATAGGTCATTAGTCAATTTCAATTCATTCATAATATTAGTAGGAGCAGTATAGATCTCATGATCATCTAATATTAATTTTAAATTTTCTTTGACCAACTCACTATCCACAACAAAAACAGAATTATTTGCCATCTGTGTCCTGTCAGAAATACTACCAGAAAATTCAAATGCATCTATCTTCTCAGATAGTTAATCAGCTATATAAGAATTTAAAAATAATATCCTAACATGATCATTCCAATCTACTTGTCACCTATATCAATAACCAAACTGATTACTTTGGAAAATTCTTGCTAATAATATTAATAACAAAACTCTTAATATTATGATTCATAAAGTGAAAGACCATTCCAGCAATTCAGATAATAATTTAGCTAATCAATTCAAAATCAAGATCGCAATGCAGATATTTTCTTTATTAACTATCATCAATTATCATCTACTAAATTTATACCCATATTTAATCAGACTATTCTAATAGATAATAACTTGAGAATATTTCTCAAAAAAATATTTTACTACTCATGTATCTATAAGTGACAAACTGAATTGAGAATAAAATTCATCTTGCAATTCTTATTATAAATTTCTGACTGGTCTGATATACTTTCAGTATAAAATCAAGATAGAGAAATTAATAGTAATCAAATTATCACATATGCTTTTAAAACTCACACTTTCTTCATTAAGTCATTCCACAATATATTACCTACTCTATAATATCTCAAAACTTGTAAATCTCATATATATAAAAGTAATATTTGTTACTTATGTAATTTAGCAGTAGAAGATCAAACTTATCTTTGAACTTGTCCTGTAATCAGCAAAGTGAGAGTTATTATTAGTCAATAATTACTATCATATTTATATAATTCATTTATATCACCTTCTGATAATACAATAAATAGTCTTTTAAAGCAAATTATCCAGGCTTATCTCCAAATATCTTCAACCTTCATAATTCTGTTCAATTTCATTTCACTTAATATTACCAACATTAGTGTACTTATTGAATTAGTACCAAAAGAGCTACTTTAATTTTTCATCTTCCAATAATATTCAATATCAGCAGCAAGGAAATTAGCAGTCAAATTCATCAAATAGCTATCACAGTAATTTTATAAACATATTTAACTTATTCACTACAAAGCAGTTAACAAGCATAAAAAATCTCTAGAGATTACTAGAGCATATAAAAATTACAAACAGATATCTTACAAAGGCTGATCTAAAGATACTTCTTTATCATAATCTTATTAAATCATCTTCAAGATATGGTCAGACCTCTTTTTCTGTACATATGGCTTCTCAGATGATTAGTATTTCAATTAATAATATCCAATTCAAGCTATCATCTTAATAAAATTACTCAAAAAATTCTTAATTTACAAATTAAATCTTGTAAATTAATTTTTCTATTAGAATTAGTTTAGTCTTAGACAGGTCCAAGATGGCTAGTCACATCTTATATTTTAAATATAATATGGATAATCTCTGATCTATCATCTATTTAATATAAATGAGAAATAAGACTATACTATAGCTTTATAATAATAATAATAATAATAATAATAAGAAAAATTTTAATTTAGATTAAATCAAAAATCTAATTAAAAAACTATATAAAAAGTAATTATTAGTTAAATAAATTAAAACTAAAAATAAGAAATCTATTAGTAATAAAAATAAAAATAATAAATATAAAAATATTAAATATTATACTCTAATTTACAAGAAATAGTAAATAATATTAATAAAAAAAATATATTATAAGATGAAAGTATAAATTAAAAGAGAAATATATTATTATTATATTCTTTAAAATAATTTAACATAAAATCTTTCAAATATATAACTTTTTTAATATCAATTTGATAATTTACTTATCTCTTTTATTTATCTTATTTTTATATTTTTTTTAAACTTTATTTATTAAAAATATTTATATTAATTATGATAATAAGAATTATTTTTTAATATTTATTTACTTATTTTATTTATATTAATAATTATAAGTTATCAAATTATGATAAATAAATTTACAAGATCTTTTAAAATTAATTTTATTTATTTATTAAATAATCTAATAATATTAAATATAATGAATATAATTATAATTTTTTAAATAATTAATATTTACTCAATACTTATTTTTTTAATTTATCCTCTTACTTCTTTATTATTATTTATAAAATTAAAATATTTATAATTATGATAAGTAAAATTATATTTTTATCAAATAATTTAAATATTTTACTTATTTCTTGTCTTTTTATCTATTTTTTATCTTTTTATTAATTATTATTTATTAAAAAATCAGAGTTATAGTATAATCAATTACTTATTTTGTGATATAATAGATATAATTACAGTATATAGTATAGTAATTACTAATTATTATTAAATCAAGTATATAAAAAATTTATATTAATTTAATTTATTATTAATTCTATTTTTAATTTATATTATTATCTATATTTAGTCTTATTTTTTTATTAATTTAGCTATATATAATATACTTAATTTATAGTTTTATTAAATTAATAATTTTTTAATTAATTATTATTAATTTTCTTTCTTTTCTTACTTTAATTTTGAATAACTTAATATTTTGCTAATATTAATTCTTATCATAAAGTCCTGTAAATAAGCAACCCCCTACATCATCATTTTGAAGGCCGATTTTTAGGGGGGGTTACTTATTCACAGGACTTTCTAAATACTTAATACCTATTGACCTAACGGTTAAATTAATTCCGAGTCGCTACAAATGTAGCAAATTAGTTACATATAACATTCTAATATTCCAAATTTGATCAAATTTTTTCATGTCCTATTTCTCCCTCTCTTGTCAAGAGAAAATGAGTAATACTTCCACCAATATTATCCAGCCCAAATTCAAAGATCGCATACAAAGGACTTCATATAAAGCATCCGAAAAACTTGCTATTATTAATGAAGCTAAAAAGTTTAATATTTTGGCTGTGGTATGTCAGTTAGGTATTGACTAGTCAATAGTATCACAGTGGGTGCGTGACAAGGAAAAGTTTAGTAATGCCATATCAACGAGCCGACATGTTGGTGCTGGAAAAATTTTAGCTTATTCAGCTGCTGAGGAAGAACTTCTTAAATGGATTAATGAGCTTTGTCTTGTTGAGATTGCTGTGACGGCAGGTGCTATCAAATTACAAATGGTTACCATTCTCGCAATAACCTGTGCAAATGATTACTCAGATGCCTCTAATAAATTTCACACTTCATAATCTTGGTTTTATCAGTTTTTGAAAAGGTATAATCTTTCTCTTTGGCGGTATACTAAGATCAGCCAAAAGTTACTAATAATTTGAGTGAAAAAATTATCAAATTTCAAAGATTTATAATCTGATCTCAGTCAGCGCACCAATATAATCTTTCTCAAATTGTCAATATGGATGAAATACCAGTTTATTTTGATATGGTGGGTTCTACTATAATTAATGTAAGGGGAGCTAAAACTATCCAAATTCAAACAACTGGCAATGATAAAAATCGATTTACATGTGTCTTGGCTATAATAGCAGATGGCAATAAACTTTCTTCCATGGTAATTTTCAAAGGTATATGAACCCCCCACCAATTTTCCTAAAGGAATTGTCATACGTATACATGAAAAAGCTTGGATGGATGAGCATTTGATATGTGAGTGGATCAACCAAATTTGGAATAAACATCCTGAAATATTAACAGCATACAAACCTACCTTTTTACTTATTATGGATTCATTCAAAGGACACAAAACTGAATTGATACACCAAAAATGCAATGCCAGCAATACTCATTTGGTAATTATTTCTGGAGATTTAACATCAGTCATTCAACCTTTGGATGTATGCATTAACAAACTATTTAAAGATAGATTAAGAGAAAAATGGCAGTTATGGATGAGTTATGGTGATTTTGAATTGACTAAAGGTGGAAATCTAAAAAAATCACAATATAATTTGATTTGTCAATGGATTTTAGAGGTATGAAAAGATATTCCTTCAGAAATGATTGTTAAATCATTTAAAAAATGTGAAATTTCTAATGTATTAGATGGGACTGAGGATGATTTATTATATAGTTCTGATGCAGAAATTAGTGAAACTAATGAGATTGAAGATTTAAATGAAATAGTAAATGAAGATGATATTTCTGCTGAAGAATTAGAAAATGAATAAATATATAATAAATTTAAGTATATAAAAAGGAGTTGCTTATTCAACTTT